AAAAAAAAAGCAACTACCTCGAATTTATTCAATACCATTCATTAATACCAACCAACAAAATACCATTTACCAATCGATAACGATTGCAAAGAAAAAAATAAAAAAAAAAACAACGCCAATACTCACAAAGAGGGGGAAAAAAGAAGTAAGTTAAAAAAAAACATAAAATAAAAAAAAATAAAATGAGGCTGGTAGAATATCTTACAGCGGTATCGATGTTGTCTGTATATTCGAGTAAAGATTTCTCAGGGTTAAAAAGTAGTCACCAGGCAAAATGGATTTCATTAACTCTCGAGGATCGTACATCTCCGTTGAAGTTCGTCGAACACTCGCTAAGAAGCCTCCCCTTTTCTTCTTCTTCTTCATCTTCTTCACTTCGTCATTGGCATTTCTTTCTCTGTCTTTCTACTTCACCCTCTCACCTTTCACTTCTCTCGATTCTTGATTCTTCAGATTCCTCATCTTCCCTCATTTCTTCCCATGTCACTTTCTCAGCACCTCATCTTCCAATGTACTTACCAATCAACCCCTTCGTCCCCCTTCACCCTTTCGATTCTTAATTCTTCAGTCTCCTCATTCTTACCCATCCCTTCCTAAGTCACTTTTTCACCTCCCCCTCCACACTGTACTCACTACTCAACCTTTCACCCCTCCAATATACTCACTACTCAAGCCCTTCTTGATTCTTAAATCATCCCCATCTTCTTCCATTTCTACCAACGTCACTTTATCAGCCCATCACCTTCTGAACTCGGCCCCCTCCTCATCCCTCCCAACACCTATTCCTCATTTAACCTTCTTCTTAGGTCTCGTGTGCCAGTATCATCACCTACGTCGGGGATCGCGGAATTTCTTTATTGTGCGAACTACATTGAGTACTGAGCTGACTATATCAGAGAACGACGGACTAGTATTTCTCTTTTCCTCTCTTTCACCCTTTCATCCTTTTCACCATTCCTTTCTTTCTTCATCTTCGTTCTTTCCTTGCTTGCTTCCTTCTTTCCTTCCAGTAGCAGGAGCAACCCTTCTAAAGGGCTGTTCGTGGCAGGCAGACTCTTTTCTCATTTCAACCAACCACCCACACCCCTCCCCTATTCTACTCCCTACCACTCACTTCCATCAACACATCTTCGTCTCTTGCAATTAATTCTAAAGTGAATTGCTATTTTTCTCTTTTTTTTATTTCTTATCTTTCTCTTTCTCTTTTTCGTTGTGTTCTTTATTAAGTTTTTTATTTTCAGTTCGAATATACATGTACTCGAATTTTTTTGGTTTAACATTATATCAGTTGCAACAAGGTTACATCAGGTAAAATTGAAGGAAAGTTAAATTATAAGTTGTTTGGTATTTTAAATTATTAATTGGGATTAGTTTACACGTGTTGTTGGAATTTTTAAATTGTTTCAAATATTAGTGATGTTTATTTAAAAGCATTCTCAGTAAATAAAATATTCTATTACGTATTATTTATTTAATTATAAAATATTTAATATTTGTTGTCTTATGATTTATTTTAATAATAAAATATAAACTTTATTATTTTTCGAATAAAATAAAAATAATATTTTTAATACAAAATATAATATAAAATAGTATCTTTTATTTACTTAAATTTAAAAAATACTAGAAACTATTAATAGAAAATACTTAAAATTAAAAATTATTAATATTCCAATTATTACTTAATAAATTATTAATTTTTTCTTATTAAATTAAATATAAACGAATAAATATTATGATATTATTAATCATTAATAAACCAAAAGTTTTGATAAAATTACATATTTTCAATGACTGATATAATCAAAAATAAATAACATTATTAATTTAATAAATATAACGAAATAAATATTGTTAAATTATTTATTGATCAATTATTCAATACTTTGTTAAATACACGATTGATCAATTTCTTTTTTTAGAAACAACTGGAATGTTCGTATATTAGGATCATTGATCGAACTATCATAAGATAAAATTGATATTTTGGAAGGGGAAAAGTAAGAATAGGGGTAGGGGGTAGATAGGTGAAGGAAGAGGGTGGAATATTTGGTGTAAAGAAAAAGAAAGAAATAGTAGAATGGTGTGAAGGTTTATACGAGAAGGTTTCAGATGGATCGCGGCAAATATAACAAGATTACAGGAGAACTCACTTATCCTGTAATTGCTGAAGAGAAAGAAAGAAAGTACAAGAGAAAGAAAGAGAGAGAAAGAGAGAGAGAAGAAGAGAGGAAAATACTAAAACTGGGATGTCTGTGATTCGTTTCGCAGGATCTCTTATCCTTTGAGTGGCAACGAAAATAGAATCTTATTAGATAAAATTCAAAAGAAATTTCGAGCTATAAAATAATCATTGCCATTTGTTACGTCGATATTTATTATCAAATCCAAAAATAAATAAGTGGAATAATCATAACATTAATCGAATATGATTTAAATAACTAACTAATGGTAGAAATCATTTTCTGCTTAACAAATATTCCAATTAATTATCATTTATTTAAAAAAATACCAATCAATAACATTTCAGAATTGATGAAATAAATAAAAGTGCATTGCCCTAATTTTCCCTACCTACATTCTCTCTCTCTCTCTCTCTCTTCCTTTATTTTCAAATCCAGAAATAAACAAGAAGAAGGACCAATATTAATCGAATTTGATTTGATGACAGACAACATTCCTGCTTAGCCAATAGTCCAGACGATTTATCAAAAAGTTCGATAGCTTCTAGCAAACCTGTCTTATATATATATCTCTCTCTTTTTCTTTCTTTCTTTCATTCTTACTTTCTCTCTTTCTCTCTCATCTTTATTTATAATCCAACGAACAGACGGAGCAGTACTTTAGCAGAAGAATTGGATGGGATCTAGAAATGACCATCGGTCTCAGAGTTACTAGCTTTCCTCGTCTCGTGGGCGTTCTCATGAAAAGCAATGAGTTTCTTCTCTACCTTTCTCTTACCCACACCCTCCCCTTTCTCCACTGTTTTTCTCTTTTTTTTTTTCTAGCTTTTTTCTATATCCAACAAGCCGATTTCAACGTTTATAGGGGCTCCTGTTTATTTACCGTGTCACTTGTGTTATAGTTTCACCTTATCTCGTATCTTCTTCTTCTTCTTCTTATTATTATTATTATTTTTATTCTTCTACTTCTTTGTTTTTTATTAAAGTTATTGTGTGTACCTAGAGTATCTTATTTTGTTCACGATACGTTAAACGTACAATGAACGAAATAATAATCCGATTGTATTCATATTCAAGGTTTTCATTGTCATTTTTATACGAAAGAACAAGGTTGTATCAAGATTGGGTCCAAGAGGGTTGATTTAATGTGAAAAAATAATAATTTAATATAACGTTTTATTTATAGGATTAATTTCTTATTGAAGATAATTGATTATGATCTTTGAACTATCGAATATCATTTGAATTTTGTCGATTATTTTGATTGATTGTCTTTATACGAACTTACGTTGATGAACATTGACAGTGAAATGATCTAATTTTATTTTTATATGAATTAGTATTATTTTACGAGTATTACTAACAATGTTTCTCTTTCCCTTTAAATTATTTTTCATTTTCAAAAAAAAAGCAACATGTGAATGTATTTTTGATTATTTTAGAATACGTTGAATGATTTAGTTGAAATTTTCATGGGATTATCACGGCATAGTTTTTTTGAGAGCATGGAGATTTAGGAAAAGAGATAGAAAGAGAATGAAAGAGAGTAAAATAGAACGTGATCATCGATAGCTAGGCCAATAGAATGTTTCCGATTCCAGTGTTATAATGATCGAAGCAAGCAACTTCTCAAGAAACGTGGCTTCTTTCCTTTTAGCCAATAATTATGGATTTCCTTTCTGAAATACTACTACTACTACTACTACTTTTCTACTTTCTTGAGTTTTTGTGTTTTTTTTTTTTTGGTTATTCAACATATTTTTTTTAGTAAATGATACACAAGAATAAAAAATATATTTTATGCTATGCAGATAAATTAAAGTATAATAATTTTATTATATTAAATAATTGTGAAAAGGTGTTTTCAATTTATATAGTGAATATTATTTAATATTTTTGTTTTTCTGAATATTTTTTTAAAAGATCATAGAATGTGTGATTATTTATATCGATCATTTATTATAATAAAAATATTAACAAATTTTGTGTTTATTTATAATTTTTTTTTCTTTCTTTCTTTCTATAATCTTGATAATTAGTTTAATTTATTATTATAGTTTTATATTTAATTATAATAAATTGTAATTTAATTTATTATAATTTTTATAATAAATATAATATATAATTTAATTTATTATAACTTATATAAATATAATATATTTAATAATTATAATATTATAATATATTATTTATATTAATAATAAATATAATACATTATTATAATAATTATAATAAATTATATTTACTTTATTTGTTATTTAATTATAATACACCAAATATAAAAGAAATATAATAATGAATAAACAAACAAATAAATAACATATCTAAAACACTAATCTCATAAATATTAAAAGATATAATAAATAATTTGATAAATAACATCCTAGTTAAATATAAAATATCACGAGAAAAGAAAAAAATGAAATGAAATAAAAATTTCGGGTGGGTGAATTGAGAAAGGGAAAGAAAAAAGAAACGCTAAAGCAAAAGGAAAATGATCGATGCTCGACTTAACTCAAGAGCTACATCAAAAGCCTTTTCCTCTTTCTTTTTTTTTTCTTACTGTCTTTCTCTTATAACTCGGACATTACTGTTTTTTTATTATCAAGGTCAAAGTTCGTTTAATTTTATCCCTTATCTGAATCATTTTCATCTGTTCATTCCATTCTTTTTACACGTACAACAAACACTAAATTCTGAATAGAAAAAAAAAACTATCGAGAAAAGACATTTTGTTTATAATATTATATTAAATTGTTTGTTTCTTAATAAGCAAATGCGAGATTAAAGTAGGATAAAAATTCATTCTTATCATTTTTAATTCATACTACTTATCACTGTAAAGAAAGAAGCAGCCGTTGAAATCATCTAAAACAAAATTTATGAATGATTTATTTTTTTATTTAAATTTCGCAAATTTTGTTTCTTTTGTTTGTTCTTTTTTGTATCACTTACAGAAGCAAAAGTTTCCAAGGACAGAGATGTGAATTTGCCAGCCGTTAAACGTACAGCTCTTTGAGATCTCATAATAATAATATTAATTGATCTTCTTAATTTTGTTGAATAATTGTACCAAGGCACCGAATAACTCGAATTAGCTATTGCAGCAGTCTAAAATAAAAAATTGAAACATAAATACAAAGTTTCCTAAAAGTAGACAGTTAAACTTAAATAAATATATACAAAGAGTCCTAAATAAATAAATATACACAAGTGTCCTAAAATAGACAGTTAAACTTAAATAAATATATACAAAGTTTTCTAAATAAATAAATATATATAAATATATAAATAAATATATACAACCTATCCTAAAAGTAGACAGTTAAACTTTGATAGCTGAATTTTACATTAAAAAATAAGAACAAAGTGTTATGAGACTGTTAAATATAATATTACGAATAAATTTTTTGTTTATGCATATGCAAAACCTTTAATGCAACCATTATAGTTTTTAATTTTTATTTATAATGAATTTGAAAAGATTTCTGTTACAGAAATGAGACACACACGAAGATGTTCATAAAAACTTGTGGTTATTTTCATATTAAATTTTCATATTAAATTTTACATTTGTTTTAGAATGAAATAAAATAAAATATTTGATTTTTAGTATTGATAATATAAGTATTACCAACCTCAAAAAGTAGTACATCTGGTGGCCAATTGCAAAGGAAAAGTTGTATTACTGCAATCAATACTTGTGTAGTATATTTGTACTTATCAGGGTCATTCTGCAACATGACATGAAAAATGACATAACAATCCAGAATCTTTTAAATGATTTTTATTTATTAATTAAATTTAATTAAATAATTTCATCTTACCCCAGCTAATTTAAATCCAACTAATGATATGTTGTAAGTACTGCCAATTAATTGTGTTAGGAACATGATGTTTGTTAATTCTTCGATGTTCTTACAAAATCTATACAAAAAAAAATACAAAAATTTATTTCAAATATTTTACATCATGTATTTCAAAATATTTATTAATAATATTTAAATATTTAAATATTCAATATATTTATTTATGTTGTATTTTTTGATTAAAAATATTTATAATATTTTACTGCAATTTTAATTTGTATTAAAATACATTATTTTAATACAAACAATAATAATAATTATTTTTTTTTCTTACAAGTCAAACATTTTTTTATTTAAAATATGTTAATCCAATAATTGTATCATAAATACAAATTTTTAAACAAAAATTTTGGTATATCAAACGTATCTTCCCAAAACAAAATATAACAAAAATGGGAACGTAAGTTTAACTAAGGTAAACTAAAAAAAAAAAAGATTATAAATATACCGAGATATGACGAAAAAGTGTTAGAGTATGATAGAATATAAGAAATGAAAAGTAAATCGTTGTAGAAATATTTTTTTCCAACAAAATCATCCTTCTCACTCTATCACTCATCCGTCTTCCTTTCTTTCTTTCTTTTTTCTTTTTTCTACAATCGTTACCTTAAATTACATTTGTTAAGCGAAAAATTTTGATAAATAAAAATAAATTTTCAATAATTTCGATTATTTCAAATATATTTATTGTATCTAGATTTTAAGGACACCCTGTAAAATTACACACATACACATACATTAATATACTTACTCTAAAATCGTAATATGATAATTAACACAATTATTAAGTTTAATTTGAACATCTTTCAAAACAATGGATTGATGAAAATCCACAAAATCTTTGTCTTCAATGAACTCAGATTTCATATTTTCGTTCAACGACAACATTTTATTTTGTATTACTTTAAGATGTCCACAAGCAATTAAAATAAGAACTGGTCCAACGGTGTCTACACCAACACAAGTCAAACCAACATTAATCATGCTACTCAATTGAAAAACATAAGCAATCTCGAAATAAGGTGACTCGTGAACTTCAATTATAAAAGCGTATGGTAAATTACGTTGAACAGTTTCATTCGGATTATTTTCATCTACGTTTGATGATACGAAAAGGCACGCAATTGCATAAAAAAAAATGGTAAAAGCACAACCGAATAAATAATAATACGTCAAACGTTTAGTTATGTTTGTACAATTACGAACAAAATGTTTTTCCGATTTATCCAATTCGATCCAAAGATTTTCACAAACGTTTAACATTCGTAAAAATTGCTCTCTTTTAATCCATAAAATGATGTAACGTGCTTGTCCACTTATTAAGGATATTATCATAGAAAAAAATTCTAAAGCAATGTCAACGTGTATTGTATTAACTATTTTAACAAATTCATAAGTGTAAGTAACTGAATAAGTTGTTAAAGAAAAAAATGCAATTATTGCGAGTAGATTGGTCCAATCGATGTTGAAAAATAGGGTTGTTTTGCACGGTATTATTCCGCTGAATTTTAAAAGAAACAAATTCACCGATATCACGTTTTTTCCGAACGAATCGGCAGACATTTTATTTTTTTTTTCTATTTTGTATTTTAATATTTTTTTGTTTTTAATTCTTCTTTATTTTGTTGAAGTTTTTTATGAAATTTTATTCAATTATTGTGTTCTTCTTTTTTAATATCACAAAAAAAACGAATTGATATCACGAAGAACTAAAGAGTTACACTGTATCCGAATAAAAATCAGTTATGTGGTGAAGATAGAATTTTGCACCTGCGCAATTCCGTTTGTACCTTCGTGTTAACACTAACCCTTTACCAATATTTTCCAACTATAATAGTTCTTTTCCTAACTTACTTGTATTTGCTTACTCGAGTAAAGTTCCAATGTTTTTTTTTGTGTTTCAATGCCCGACGGATGAAATTTCTGAACAAAAATCATTTCCTGTTGTATTTTTACGTATAAGTTGTTGATATTAAATGTATCTTCATGAATTGAATTATTATTTAATAAATAATTCAATTTTATGAATAATTGAAATTAAGAAATTTAGATATTTTTTTTTATATTATTTTTTTTGCAGTTTTTCTTTTTTATGATTTATTTAATGAAACATTGTTAAAATATATAATTGAAATTTTTCTTCTTTTACGAATCTTTTACGTGAAACTTCTAAAATTATATTTTGTTCTTATTTCACAATATATAAATTTAAAAAAAATTAAATTGTCAATGTATTTAATATTTAAATTAATATTTATTAAAAAAAATAATTACTAATAATTAAAGTAGTATTAAAAAATTAGAATCACAAAATATAAATTAAGAAAAATTAAATTGTCAATGTATTTAATATTTAAATTTAATATTTATTAAAATAATAATTACTAATAATTAATAATTATTAGGAATTAAAAAAATTTAGTGTCCTTTTGTTTTGTAATTAATTATTTAATAAAACTTTGCCAAAATATATATTTCCGATTTTCTTATTTTAATGTACATAAAATAAAACTATTGAAAATATTTTACTTTTTATTATTATTTATTCTAAAATAATTATAAACATTATTATATTATTTATTAAAATTTTATTATCAATCTAAAAAAAATTAAACAACAATCGAACACTTCAGTTTTAAAATGATAAAAAAATAATGTTCAATATAGAATCAATCTTTTATGCACTTAAACATTTTTTTCGTAAATTTTTCTTAGTAAATTTTTTTACAGTCGTCAATAAAAAAAAAAAAACATATCAGACTTACTTTTACTATTTTTGGAAGAAAGTATTTGTTTCTGCTACGGAATTACTCTCTGACACGAAAGGAAAAATATCAAAGTTGACTTTTGATAAAAGAAAACTTTTACGATTGATATATACGTGTGTGTGTATATGTGAGATATAAACTAAAAGACTATAATTAATCGATCGTTTTGAGAATGAATAAATAAAAAGATCTTTCTGGAGATTAATGTCTAGAATTGTATACAGATGTTCAGAAACACACTCTTCTTTTTTTATCAATCATTGATTTTAATTAATAATTTCAAGATAACTAAACCATGATAAATAATCTTTATGAATTTTCTAATAATTATTAATTTTGTTAGATAGATTATGCTCTTTGTTCTAGAAAGTAACATGGGGTAAACCACATTTACCATTAAACCTAATAATCCTTAAAAGCGTTTAGTATAATGAATCGTATTAACTAATTCACATTTATAAAATTACATTAAACAATAAATATTACGTTAAATTATTTTAAATAATTTATTAGTATAATTGTAAATAAATACTTTTATATTCATTATATATCTGCAAATATGTTTTACACTGTCAAATAATTTAATAATAATATTATTTTTTGATCATTCACATCTGAATAAATGAAAATATTTCATTTAGTTTTTTTTTTAATAATATTTTTCATTAATTTCTTTTTTTTTTGACAATAAACTAAATATTAACTATTGAAAATAATTTTTAATTATTATTTAAAAGTAATATCTATATTCTCCATACATTTAAGCACATACCATACAAATACATATATACATTCTAAGTAAATGGGGGTGGGGTCTAAGTTATACTCCATTGGTTCGAATGAACCAGTCGCTGTTAAATGCGCAACTGCATCCAAGAATAAGAAGTCAATGCGCAGGTTAATATCGACGATGCAATAAGATGAGTTGAATTGATAATTTTCATATCTGACATACGTACTTTTGCGCATGATGTTTTAACTATACATATATATATGTTATAAGTATAACTTTATTTCAGAAATATGAACATTTGTTAAAAATAAATTCTTTTTTTATCATAAGAACTTAGTCAAAACAGTATTTAAAATTATTTATGTAAATTAAATTTTAAAAAATATTTACTATAAATAATAATTTTATTTATAAAGAAATTGCATAGATTACAAGTGATAAGTATGAAATTTGAAGGTGGAGTATGAAAAAAATAATAATAAGTTACCTAATTAAATAATTTTATTTGTTAAAGTATTTTATCACGTTACCAATACATATTGGATTTTTTAACCTGCGTGTTATATATTAAAATATTAAAATAATATTTATAAATAAGTACAATTATTTTTGTAATTATTTTTAAATATTATTATTAATATTATTATTATTAATTGGTATTAGGAACTCGAAAGTTCCACTGCCGCAAATACCAAATCCCGCCAGTGTTCTCGTCCCTGAATGCAACCCCTCCATTCGCGGTCTCCATAACCTATTTCTTTACAATATTATTTTTAAATACTTTTTAAAAATACATATATCAATAATAAAATAATTTTGTTAAAAAAAATTAAATTAATAACCAAAATTATTTTACCAAATGTACAATATCAGCTATAAATAATATACAAATTTACAATACCAATATTAAACAAGTTACCGACTGAAGGTAATATTGAAAAATAAACAAAATATCGACGCCATTGACCAGATATTAGAATAGATAGATTTCAAATTCAAATGATAAAAGACCACCCACGTAAAATCAAAACTACAAGCCGAGAGTTAGCGACATCCCTGTGAGATAGAATGTCTCGGTTGTTCGACGAAGGGTTGGGCGATGTTATAGAATCAGCGGTGAGGGTTGAAGAAGAGGGTTAAAAGAGAGGAATAGAGAAAGATAGAGAATAAAGCTTCGGGCAGTTCCCTTGGCAGCCTGGTGCGCGGTGAGTGGTGCCCCGAAAACGAAACGACGTGCGTCGTGTTACTTTCGTCAGCATGCAACAACGACGTAACATTCACGACTACCCTTCTAACAATATTCTCAGCTTGGACGACACTTGATCTCCGACTGAACATTATTAAACAAATAATAAAACATCAGGAGAACATTGACAAAGTGATATGGTGGCCCTGCGTAAGTAAACTTTACCGATTACCTTAGTTATAACAACCCAAATATTTTGCATACACGTTTGAAATAGAATAATAGGTGAAACTAGAGAAGAATAAACAGTGACACTGTAAAATAGAAAGAGCTAGGAAGAGAAAAAGGGGAAGGAGGGTAGAAAAGAAAGAACGACGGACGAGGTTTGGGATCGATATTGACCCTTCGAGAGAGCATGCATCAGCTTTCAGTGTAATCGTTGCGCCGATTTTCAGTTTCCACCTTTGAGAGTCATCGTCTAGCCTCCTTACATCCCCCTTCCGTTATTTATCCCAATCCCATCCCACCCCCTTTTACATCTTCCTCCTCTTTTGCTTCCTATTTCTTTTTTTTCTTTTCCTATTCCTCGTACACCACCCATTCTTCCACCTTCTTCTCCTCCTTTTCCTCTTACACCTCCTCGTCTTCTCGACTCGTGCTTTCGTCTCTCGGCCGTTCGCCAAATCGATTTTACCCTGTACACACATACCACATCGCCATGATTTTCGATCGTTCGAGTTTAATAATATACTTCTAACCAAATCGTGTTGGTATGTGTTTATTTTGTTAATCAAATGATCATTTTTTAAACAAAGTTATTATTTTGTTTATATAATTGATAGTAGGTACCAGTCAATTCCGAAAAAAATAATACAGTAATAGATTAATAATAATAATTTAATTTAATAATATATAATTAATGATTATATTATATTAATATAATATATTATTTAATATAATAATATATTAAATTAATTAATAATATATAATAGAATTTAATAATAAATAAATAAGAAGAAGAAGAAGAAGTTTATTTCAGGTATACCCTTTTAGGGTGTTTACCCCGAAGCCCCCCCCCCTACATGTTCGTTCCCCTTGACAATATACTTAATTCTAATTATGCCCTAATATAATATTAGATATTAATATTAACAATATAAAAATAATATAAAACAATATAAACAACATTAAACAATATACCACATTTAGTAACTATATAGACTATATAAAACTATAACATATATATACTTCATTTATGTTTATGTGTTCTATTCCTTACATTCTATTTCCTTATATGTCTAATTGTTCCACTCACATTATCTATCTTCTCGTTCCCCCTTCACCCCTATCTTGGCCCATTTTCCTGGCCAGCCTTTCGAAATTTCTTATATATGCACACAGCTGGGAATAATAAATAAATAAATAAATATAAAATATTTATATTTTATTCGATAGTAATAAAATATTATTTATAATGACATAATTTTTAACGAAATAAAACAACTATGTTGAATATAAAATGTTTATATGAAATTTGAAGAACTAGTCATTTAATTGGTCGTAATACGTTTTCTGATAAATTATTATTTATATGTTATTCAAAAATGTTGTTTTATAATCTAAATTATATATTTATTTTTTAATTAAATAATGGAAATAATATAGTCGATTTTGATACGGATTTATAATTTATAAATCTACTAAAATTAAATGAAAAACAAATAAAAATATTGAATGTGCAATATTTATAAATTTCAAACATAAAACTTCATACTTACCGTTCGTTCTACATTTAAGTTTACTTTAATTTGAAAATTAAATATTTAATCCTGATCAGAAATAAAACATTGACTTCTATTTGAATAAAACTAGTTCA